AATAAGATAAAGTATTTTAATTAACACTTTACATAGAAAAGAAGTAGTAATTCACAAATAAAACGCTATAATCTAAACTAGATAAAGGAAACAAATTAATAAAATTTATATTGCATAATAAAAGTAAAGTTCTAGAAATATTATTTAATGACACTCGAATATCAGATTAATAAAGTATATTAAATATGGACAAAATAATTAAGGGACCATCCATAAAAGACGTCATCCAAATAGGGGGGGGGAGGAGGTTGAGTTAAAAATGACAAAAAAGGACAAGGGGAGGGGGGAGGTTTTTTCAGAAAAGGACTTCACTTTATAGATTTTTTATTTTAGTTTAATTAACATGGAAAACTACGTAAACATGTGTTTTTAAGAAGATAATGTATGAGAATATTTTTAATTTTATTTTTCAAAGGTGTAGCACCAGATTCAAACATCATTGCTAGATGGGATAAATTTTTTTGGAGTTAAAAATAGGGGGGGGTTCAGGATTTTATGACGTCCTTTTCAAGGGGGGTATAGGGAAAAAGGACAACCGGTGACAAAGGTAAGGGGGGAGGGGGGTCAAAAATTGGCTAAAAAAATGTTGACGTCCCTTATGGACGGCCCCAAATGCATATCTACTTGCATATTTAAATTATTACACAAATAAAAAAATTTATAACATAGCTGTTTTGTGAATCTGATAATATTAATACGCTAATTTAATAATATTAATAGTCGAATTACGTCATTTTCTAGGCTTTTCTATTTTAAAGTAGTTTCTAGGCTTTTCTATACGCGGGTTTTTTTTTATTTTATTTACTAACAACCCGTATTAGGGGTTGCTTACTGCTAGTGTTAAAAAAGACTATAAAAAGTTGTTTTAAAAAATATGAATTTTACGTATTTCAACATGAGATTTTTTAATTTTTTAATTATTAAGTAATTTGCATAAAGTTAAAAAATTAAACCAGAGTCATAACATGAAATAAATAACAAAAGGTATAGAAGTTTGTCAATCAAAATAAAACGCAAAACGTCTCCTTTTTTTAGATAGCTCTGCATTTAAATGGTTCTCAAAAAAAAAAAAAAAAAAAGTTGCGTCATGGTTTTAAAAGTCAGAGATAACATAATACTTCATACTTATCTCAGAAGTTAACTTTGCTTTTTAGGTTCTATGTAATGTTTCTATATAAAAATTTTACTAAAATTCATTTGTTTTAAAAATTATTTAAAACTTTATTCTTTGAGTATTTTAAGTCTGCTTTTTATAACTTGACTGTTACCGTATTCAATACTTATATTTATTCAATATTATTCTATACTCATATATATTTTTTTAAAAACTTTATCACTTATCCCATTAGATTTTAAAATATTTTTTACAAAAAATAACAAATGTAGGAAGCCAAAATGTAAAAATAAATCAATAAAAGTTAAAAGAAAAAGTAATTAAAAATAAAATCGAAATTTACTATTAAAAAAGTTTCTGTGATGGCTTTTTTCTCCATTTACAAGTTTATTTTATAAAAAATTAAATAAAACTTTTTACAAAACATCCAAAGATTTATAGGGTGAGTGAGGCATCGTGAAACATGAGGCACCATGATGCAATGTAATTGTAAAGCCATCTAAAGAGTGGTGACAACCACTTTCATATGGTACAACAGTTACTACTGGGGCTATGTTTGACTAAAAAGTTGTATTATTTGATATCATTAAGCCTGCAATGGATAGAACTTGGTTTTCATGATTTAATGGCAATGTAATTTATTACTTTTTAAAGTTGCTAATTTTTAATACATGTTATTCAATGCGTCAATCGGCACGTAACTTCATATGATAAACTATAATCCATTGGATCTAACTTCATTTAATAAAACTAATAAAAAAATAAGTTGAAGCGATTGTTTTGTATAAGTAAGTATGGGGTAACCTAATATAGCATTAGTAGGGGCCTTTAAACTGTAGAACAGTACTCTGTTGTGTCATAGACAATTTAAAAAATTATTTATTCTAAAATTTACAGTCAATGTTTAAGAAGCTTATTTAAATATAACACTTAGAGATAAAATTATGATACGTATTATATGATATGCCTCAATAAAAAATAGCTTAGTCATAAGCTATTTTTTATTGAGGCATAAGAATGACATTTAAAACAATATATTGAGACATAAGAATGACATTTAAAACAATATATTATCTGGAATTCTAAAATGTGGTTTGAACCATCGGATGCATTATTTGGGTATTAATTAATAACTTGTTTTTCTTTCAAGTAAAAATTTGTGTTTTCTTTGAGTTTTATACTTTTTATTTACTTTTTAAATGATGCTTATAAATGATGCTTACTCATAAAACCTTATGGGTTTATGAGTACTGTAGGTACTCGACACAAATTTCTAATTTTACTTTAAATAGTCTCACAAGTTTAACCTGTTATATTTTGGTAGTTATTAATTAAATTAACAAATTTAATTTTCTAAGTTTTATTCTAGAAATAAAACAAGTTGGCTAAAATAAAAAACTTTATCCTCTTTATTATAGCTTTTAAGGATAACTTTACTTTATTTTTTTTTTAAATATGTAATTATTTTTTTATGTTATTTTGAGTTAACTGAGTTGTTACGTTAAAAATAACGCAGTTTTTGGGATAAAGACTTTTTTTAATGAATTATTTATTAGAAGGAAAGACTAAATTATTATAACATGCAAAAACAAATATAAATATAATATTTCGACTGTAAAAAAAACAATGCAATGTTAACATGCCCAACTTATGCAACCTTTTCCCTTAATTGTTTTACACAACAGCAACAACAACAACAACAACAACAACAAAACAGTTTGTAATTCAATTTTATTAAGTCAAATCTCAAAACAATATTATAATTATTTTTTAAAAATACAAAATTTTTAAAAAATAAATTGCAGAAAGATATTATTAGTTTTGTTAAAATATTAGAATTTTTACTATGTTTTGCCTTTATTCAAAAAGTAATCAAAGCTACTGCAATTTTAGGACTCTAAACTGGGTAAGTCAATAAAAACACTAGGTAATTTGAGCATCCTTATTTTACGCAAAAATAGTACGTTTAAACATAGTCAAAACTAAATGTTTCTATGCATTTTTTTCAAACACAAGCGCTACGAATTTCTGGCTAACATATTTTGCTTTATGAAAAATTTAATTTTTATTTAATTTTTATTAAATTTCAGCACAGAAGTTTTTCGCCATGGATTTATAAAGCGTGATAATAATAAAATATTTTAAAGAAAAAATTAAATAGCGTTTTCATTAGATGATAGCCGCTAATTATACTAATATCTGTTATCATCACAGAAATTCGTTTCAAAAAAGAAAAAGTAATTTTAACTTCACTGCTTACATCTTTTGCAATGCAGTGTTAACAAATATATCGAGTTTATAGTAAGTTATTAAATTATTATTTACCAACTCTTTTCCCCAAAAGGGTGACAAATTCTTGTTAACAGTTCTTGTTAACAGTTAACTAGTATTTGTAATATCTTACAAATATTATTATTTATCAAATTACAAATATTATTAATTATATTATTAATTATCATTAATAAGAACTTGCAAGATAATAAAACAGAAGTCAAGTTCTTGTTAAGAGTTAACTAGTATTTGTAAGATAATGAATATATTAAACAAACTGATTTTTCAATTGAAAAGAGCTTTTTGGAGTAAATATTAACTGTTTGGTTTTTTTTTTAGTTTTCTCCGGTTTTAAACAACGCAAGCCAGAACATTTTTGACCGAATTTGAAAACCTGACAGGCTTTTCGTCAATGGAAACATAGATTTTTTTAAATAACTGCAATTTCAAGTAACTTGCGGATGTTTGGGTGCGTATGTAAAAAACTCTAACTACAGGGAATATAAATCGCTTCAAATACGCTTTCAGTCAAAGAAATTTTTTAACCTTTGGATCGTCCATAAATTACTTAACGCGAAATTTAACTAATAAACTAAAGAAAAAGTGTTAAAGGTTTTCCCGTCTTTATTAAACCATGTATAAACAACCCTTCAAGTCCAGCGAAAGCCGCCGCTTAAAAGAGCAAAATATTCTCCTACTAATATTTTTATAATATGCATTGCGTAAGTTATGGACGATCCCTTTATTTAAAGAAAATAATTCTGAAAAAACGAGAATAATCTTTCCTTACCATAAAAACATAATGTTAGTTTTTAACAAAAAAATAAAATTATAGAAAAGCTTGTTGCAAAATTATAGTAAAGTTGGATGCAGTTGTGGAAAATCATAAATAGCTAAATAAAGGAAGGTTTAATTTTTTTTTTTAAATTTACACCTACCTTTATTTGAGAAAAGTGAGATTCCTTCTCAGTAGGCACGAGTCGTAAAAAGAAAACATTTAAACGTCTTTTGGATGTTTTGGACGTCTTTTAGACGTTTAAAAACGTCATTTTTAGGTCCTGTGCCCACTGAGTTGAGAGTATTTAATCATTAAAAAATTGTACTAAGAAGGCATAAACCAGGGCCGTGCGGTGCTATGATACAAAGAGGCGGCCGCCTCAGGCGGCATTATTAAGGGGCGGCAAAGTAGCGAAATCAAAATGCAATTTCAGGGTTGCAATAACAATTAAGTACTAAATCATAAACTGGACTCATTTAAACTTTAATTACTACCAAACTCGTGAATGTTTTTATCACTTTAAAAGTTTTTTCATTGTCCACATTTTTCTATAAAAATAAAAAAAAAATTTCTCCCTCATTTAGCATTCGCTTTTGCTATTCCTTTCAATATGAATAAAAACGTTTTGAAACGCATATTAGCGTGGACTATTTTCTTACTATGTTTCAAAATACTGTTTTCAAACGTTTTTAAACGTTTGTGTTTGCCTGTCTTTGCAAGTTAAATTTTAACTTTGTAATGTCATCATGTTTTTAACTGTTAAAAACATAATGACATTACAAAGATTTTACAAAATTTTTACAAAAATTTATTACAACAGTGACAGCAATCGTCAGCATGGAACAAAAAAGAAAAAAAATATCTGGAAGTCAATACAAAAAGAAACGCCTAAAGAATGAGGAACAAGAAAGAAAGCTCAGCAATGTTATGAAGAAATTCTTAGTACAAAAGTGCGGTTTAGATGAGCCATCCACATCAGCAGCAACTGATTTGGCAAATAACAACACAGTGCCGCCCCAATCACTTTCATAAGAAGTTGTTGAAGAGAGCCAAATACTAACACCATCAGATCTTCATGAACAGCCGAACAGCACATCCACGTCAATTGCGACTGCCTTGGATTTGGCAAATAAAAACACAGTGCCGCCCCAATCAATTCCAGAAAAAATTGTTGAAGAGATCCAAAAAATAACATCATCAGAAGTTCATCAAGAACCGGGCCGCATTAGCAGTGGCAGTCAGCAGGTATTAAAAGAAATTCCTTCAGATCCTGCATTATGGCTTACTTTCTGCATGTCATCTCAAACTCGTCAACTACTGGTTGAGAGGGGTCCCCATCAAATTAAAGAATTCGAGTTTCCTATTAATAAAGGAAAGCGTAGATTTTTGCCCTCGTATTATTCGAAAGTGTTGAGCAATGGTGAAGTCGTTGAGAGAAGTTGGCTTATTTACTCTATTGCTAGTGATGCCGTTTTTTGCTTTTGTTGTATATTATTTGATAATTCGTCTGATATTAGTGACTGGCCCAAAAAAGGCTATTCTGACTGGAAAAATCTTATAAGAGCCCTCACAATGCACGAAAAGTCTGTAAATCACAGAAATGCTTTTAGAGCATGGAAAGAATTGGACATTCGATTGAAGCAGAAAAAAACTGCTGAATATCAACGAATTATGGATATGGAACTTCAGCATTGGAGAGGAGTTATAAAAAGAATTATGTCAATAATTAAACTATTGGCCTCACAATGTTTAGCTTTTCGTGGATCAACTGAACATTTGTTTCAACCTAATAACGGGAACTTCCTAAAGTTGGTAGAATTACTTTCTGAGTTTGATCCAGTTATGGAAGAATATATCAGAAGAGTTCAACGAGAGTCTGATAAATGGTCAGTGACTTATCTAAGCAATAATATACAAAATGAATTGATAAATTTAATGGGAAATTCAATTTTAAGAAAAATTGTCGAAATAACAAAAATCGCTAAATATTTTTCTATAATCGCTGATTGTACCCCCGACGTCAGTCATTATGAACAGCTCTCCTTAACAATAAGAGTTGTTACTTTTAACTCCATTCAAAATAAATATGAAATTGCAGAATTCTTTATTGGTTTTTTTGAAGCTAGTGATTCAACCGGAGAAGGTTTGGCAAAACTTATTCTGACACATTTGGAAAAATTAGGTTTTGAGTTAAAGTGGCTTAGGGGACAAGGCTATGACAACGGAGCCAATATGAAAGGAGTAAGAAAGGGTGTTCAAAATAGAATACTTGAAAAATATCCAAGGACTTTTTATGTGCCCTGCGCATGCCATTCTTTAAACCTTGTTGTGAATGATGCAGCGTCTTCTACTACAGAAACAACATTTTTTTTTCTATTGTACAAGAACTTTACACTTTTTTTTCTGGTTCTACAAAGCGTTGGGAAGTGCTAAAAAAATATGTTTCTCAATTAACTCTGAAACCATTAAGTGGCACTAGGTGGGCAAGCAGAATAGATGCTTTAAAACCTTTACGATTTCAACTTTGCGAAATCTATGATGCATTGATTCTGATTATAGAAGACGTCAATAGAGATGCAGAAACTGAAGTTAAAGCGAGAGGGTTAGCAAAAAATATTAAAAGTTACAAGTTTATATGTGGAGTAATTCTTTGGCATGATATTTTGTTTGAAATTAATTCAGTTTCGAAGCTTTTGCAATCTGTTACTATAAATATATCAGATTGTGTAAGGATGCTATCAGAAACCATAAAAAAAGTGAAAAGTTATAGACAATCTGGATATATTCAGATGAAAATTGCTGCAAAGGAGATAGCAGAGAATCTCGAATGCAGTACAGAATTTCCTGATGACACTGAAGTTAGACCCAGAAGGAAAAAGCGTCAATTTAACTATGAAAAAGCTGTCGATGAACCCTTAACAGAGGAGAAAAAAACTAAAATAAACTTTTTCAACTAAATTCTGGACATTACCCTAAATTCTCTGAATGAACGATTCACGCTTCTGGAAACCCATAGCAAAAAATTTCAGTTCTTATATGACATTTTAAAACTCAAGGATATAGATGACAAAACGCTAGAAAATTATTGTTCCAGTCTTGAGTTTATACTTTCGGTTGAAAATGAAACAGATATAAATGCAAATGACCTTAGAGAAGAATTGCGTGATGTATCCAGAATGCTACCATATTCTACGAAACCTTTGGATGTTTTAAATTATTTATGCCAAAATAGCTTAATTAGTTTGTATCCAAATACTGTTGTAGCTCTGAGAATTTTATTAACTCTCCCTGTATCTGTAGCTAGTGGGGAAAGAAGTTTTTCCAAATTAAAATTAATAAAAAACTACTTAAGAAGTTCAATAGGGCAAACAAAACTTAAAAATCTGGCATTAATTTCTATTGAATCTGCAATGGCTAGCACTCTAGACTACACATCAATAATTAACGAATTTGCTAAAGTTAAAGTTAGAAGAGTAAAGCTGTAATACTGTACATTGTTGTAGTTTATAGTTGAAATCATTATTTTAAAATTTCAAAATAAAAAGTAGAATTCGTACATTTTGTGCAGTTTTTTTTAAAAATCACAATCGAAGGTTATTTTAAAGAAAAACATTTAAGGGGCGGCATTTCGAAGATTTGCCTCATAATGAGAAAATCTACCGCACGGGCCTGGCATAAACTAAGATTTAGATTAAAGAGTTTAAAGCTAAACTTAGTCAGTTATTACTAAAAAAATAATGAAGCGTTTCTACATTTAATATACTTTTTACTTAACTGATAGATTAATCATAAGGATATAAAATATCCTTATGATTAATCTATCAGTTAAATAAAAAGTATATTAATTTTAGAAACGCTTAAGTTGAATGCTTTTTTTACTTTTCAAATTTATTTATGTTTTTGTTGTTTAATATGTGTTGTTGTTCTATTTATTTTTTGATTCTTAGACTTTGGTTTTGTAAACTGTAGTTTAATATCCAAAAAATAATAATAATAAAAAATAAAATAATTATTAAAAAATAAATTGATGATTTTTCAAAAAATAATAAATAAATTTTTTTAAAAGAATATGTTCAAGTGAATAGCGCTTCTTGTTATTTTTTAATAATATGATTTCTTTATTACTTTACCAACTGTTTCAATGGCATTTCTTCTAGTACTTGATATTTTATTTATTTTAAATATAACACATAAAATACAGCTAAGAACTAATTTTTACTAATAAGTACTATTTTATGTGTTATATTTTAAATAACTTTACCAATTTTATGTTTGTTTATTTTATATTGTCAACGGAAGTGTCTATTTTTATTTTTAAATGAAACTTTATATTTAGGGGCTTGGCGATAAGACATATTATTCTTCTTCTCTCCCCTGCTACATATATATCTTGTTATTTACATACGGTTTGTATATATTAACACTGCAAAAATAAAAAAAGACAATATGAAAGTAGCTTTATGATAAAGTCAGCGGCTCTGCAATAAGTTATAAAACAAGATAAAGCAAAAAAAAAAGACAAAACAAAAGTAGTGGCTTTAACCCCCTACCTTTATATTGTCTAGTTTTATATAATAAAATTTATCCATAAATCATTATCTACTTATTTTATATTAGAAATTTAACGTAATCAAGTCTTAGTGATATATATAGAAGACAGCAAATATGTTTTAGAAACCAACGAAGCGTTTTTTGCAATCTAAAAATTGATGCTACGGCAGCGTTTTTGAAGATTTTGTTAAAAATATGTTAATGTTGTTGTCTGAAATATAGCATTTAAAAATTAAATAATAAACTTAAAAAATTAAAGTTAAATACTATGATTGTGCAATATCTGAAAAACGTTTTTTTCTTGACTATCCATATAGTCCAAAATAAAACAAATACAAATAAGCAATATTAGTATTAAATGAAAGAATTAAAATTAAAAGAAGTAATTAATTAAAAAAATTACACCAGGATTTATCAGATATAACTTCCAGACATGGAGCAAACTCCAAACATTAGTATGTTTCTACTTATGTCAAATAATGGGGCTGTGCATAAAATCTCCCCATACCCCCCTCCCTCCTTCAAACGTGTGGGACAACAAGTTGGTATAAAATTTTTTTTACTAATCTCAATTAGACTTATATTTATTCATAGTATTATCTCTCAGCGTTTTAAAAATATGACCGTATAAAACTTGTAACTTTATATGGTCATAATTTTCGAACGTTGAGAGATACTATCAAACTTGATATCATAAAAACTAATATCATATAAAAGGGGAGGTCGTCCAAAAATTGACAAAGTTTGAGTTTGACAAAGGGGGGAGGGGTGGGAGGTCAAAATTAGGAAAAAATTACTGACATTATTTATGGACAGCCCCTAAGAATAAACACACTAGTGTTTGTTCTTAAATACAGCAAGTGTGATTGACGCACTGAAACATCTGTTTGCAAAAATAAATTATTTTTTTATAGTTCTTTTTGAACTTCAAAAGAAGTTCAAAAAAACTATAAAAATGTTTCAGTGCGTTTATTCTTTTAATTAAAATAGGTTTAAAAATAAATGTAAAAAAAATACCTTCAAATTGAAGGTATTTTTTTTCTTTTGTTTTTAAACCAATTTAAGTTATAAGAATAAACTACTTCTACCGGTAATTCATTTCAGGAAATAATTTTGTAATTCTGGAGATAAATTTGTAATTCAGGTGATAATTTTGTCGAGAAGCACTTTTAGTAAATTCAGCTCGGTATCTAAAGTTGTGTCCACGTGTCTAAATCTGATTTTTTTTTTTGTACATTTATTTGTTCTAATAATTCGTATTCATGTAAAGTAAGATTTACACTATCTTTTTTATTAATGATTTTACAAATTTTTATTTTAAGTTACGCCGAGTTAAAAATTTTGTTAAATATTTTTTTTTATATGACTTTGACTAAACATCTATTTATTTGCATAACTAAAGGTACGCTTTATCATACCAAGTGCTCGAATCGCCTTAAACGCAGAGCTAATTCGCCTTAAACGCGACCTAAGATTGGCCGAAAAACAAATATCTTTTTTTTTTCACATATAGACTTTTCGAAAGTTATTAAATTGTCATTATTCGAATGTTCTTTATAATAAGTTTTATAGAATAATAATGTTCAACTTTCAGGATACAAAAGTTAACAGAAATCAAATTTAAGTAACTTAAACTTAAAGTACTTAAATGTGATTTCTGTTAACTTTTGTGTCCTTCTGTAATAATTTGAAAACGTTGCACTAAATTTCAATTTTAACAAAAATTTAAATCTTTATCTTTATTTAAAAGTATTATCATAAGAAAAGAATAAAAAATTATGTATCAACTTAAAATATGTTTTTTTTGGAATATATTTATAAATGGTAAATCACAGCAAATCATTTTATAATTAATTTATACAATTTGATTAAAATGAAGGTCATTTTTAATAAAAGAAAGGGAATAAAATCACAAGTTGAGACATTTAAAAGGATAAAAATGTTATTGGGCGGCATCAAAACTCATATCGAATTTAACTAAGAAGACTTGAATTTCAGCCAACTTTTTTTGAATGTAGTTTTTATTAGTTTCTGTATGTTTCAGCCCTATTTACAGAAACATACAGAAACTAATAAAAATTACATTCAAAAAAATTATTACTCTATCTAAAAAGTAGTTTTTTCTCAACATTTTTATGGGAAGAAATGTACTTTTTTAATATATTTTCCTTTATACTCTAAAAGCCTCATTAATATTATAATAATTGATATAAAATAACTGGAAGTTTACAGCCATGGTTTGAGAAATATATTAAATAAAAAAAAGATCCGTCAAAATAAAAATTTTTGCAAAATTTTTTTTTTCAAAAATATTTTTGCAAAAAAAGTTTTGCTAAAATGTTTTTATTTTGCAAAGTATATGCATGATCAGAACATTTTTATATGCAATATTCGCAAATTTGGAACTGTTGATCACTCATGATTATTTTCGGAAAAAAAATTAGAGTATATGTATAAGACAATTAATTTGATATTTTTAGTAAAAATTGTTATCTTATTTATTGTAAGATATTAAAAATACATCAATTTATTAAATGTTGTAGCTGATTTGTATAATAAAACAACATTTTCTATCATAAAATATATATGCAAAAAAAAACTGCATAAGCATCATTTTTAAAATTGCAAAAAACACATCAACGGTTTTTAAAGTTTGCTATAAATATATTTATGGTAAATAAATTTATTTAAAATCTTTTGTCTGTAAAAATAAAGATTAAGTATATTTTTTTATTTTATTTTTACAGACAATATAGACAAAGAGTTTAAATATTGGAGTTTAAATTTTTAACTCTAATATTTAAACTCTTTGTTAAAATTTTTAAAATATTTCACTAAAATTATTTTTTTAATTGTTTTCGTATTTTTTTTAAGTAGTCAATTCTCAGTCTAAAAATTCTCTGTATCACACATAAGTTAGCAGGGTCTGACTCGCTCTAAGGGGCCCGGGGGAGGGGAAAGATAAATAGAGCCCTAATACGTTGCAAAAAACAGTAACACGCAAGGGCCCAGGTGGGAAAATGTCACCCAAAACCAGAAGGAGAAATGCCAGCTCGCCAGTCAGACTCTTTTAGTGTTAGTACAACATTAGTAACAGTGTTAGTAACCGAATAATCAAAAATCTTAAATACAATTTTTTTTTTAAGTTTTTAAAAGTACCCAACATATGTTATATTATTAAAATGCAACAAAAAATCAATTTATATTATAGGAAGAAAACAAAAGAAAATTTTTTGTTTTGTATATTTATACTATTTATACTATTTTGTATCTTTACACTATAATGTGCAACGCAAAAATTTTAAAATTTTTTTTATTATAAAATTTTTTATTTTAAAATTATTTAAGCTTGATTTTACGAAGTCATTGCATATCAAAACAAACCCATAATAAAAGCTCAAAATGCAATAATAGAGAAAAAACGTAAACTTGTAAATAATGTTTACAGAAATACCAACATCTTGAAAAATATACGCTTTGAAGCAGTACAATACAGAGGCGATTCTAGGAATAAAAAATGGAAGGCGGAGGGGGGGGGGGGGGGAGGCGATACTTACAAAGTACTGACTGGCTAGCCGACTAAATTCGTAAAAAACCGACTTTAACTTAAAAATCACCGTCATTTTCATTCTCTCATATTGAGCATTTTATTTATACAATATTTGTTAAAATGTGTAGTTATTATTTGAATAATCTTTTTATTAGATGTCTTTATTTAGATATAGATTTAAAATAACGTATCCTACAAAAAATATGCTTAAGCTTAAGTATATTTGTAAACCTCCTGAAAAATTATAGTAGGATTACCCAGATTTGTCCTTCTTTTTTTTTATTAAATGATATGTCCGCGGAAATTTCTTCAATTAGCCACAAATATCCTGGGTTTTACTTGAAACTTAACCAAAAAGTTTTTCGCTAAAATAAAGCATGTGTA